TGTGATGAAGCTGTTTGGGTGTTGAATTTTTATTTGCCAGACAATAAGCTTGCTTCTTTTTTTCTTTTTAAAGACCCCCTGGACATATTTTCATTTTTACTGTGAACTTTTTTTTTTTTGATATTTTATTGATTTCTGTCCTCACAAACAAAATGTTTTTGAATGTCCTGTAGATCAGTGTTCTCAACCTTTTGCCCATGATGGAGCCCCTTTAAATATCTTTTGTGGCCATGGACCATGACCACAGACTCCCAAGACTTAACTTGGGATTTAAGATCGTAACAGATCTTAAATGTTAAGATTTAGATAACAGCATTTCTTCGAATCTTTGTGGACCCCCGGTGATAACATCGCGACCCCCTTAGAGGTCTGTGGAGAGAACCACTACTGTAAATTTCTGGTGAAATAATCAATTGTTTCAAACCCTTGAACTTAATACACTGAAACATATATGCACACACACAGAAACTGCAATTAAAAGAAGAAACTTGTCATCCTTGTTCTACTGTTCCTTGCATTGTAATATTTTATAAATACTTGAACTTGATTCTAGAATTTATAGTTCCAAGAATTCTTAGAAGATTAAGAAAAAATGTTGAAGTGGCATGAAGGACATATAGTATAAGGTCAAGTCGTTCGATACAAAGTATTTTAAAAACTTGACCTGATATGTCTTACATGTACAATAGATCAAAACAATGGCTGCTTTAATCTCTTTCTTAAACATTTTTTACAAAGAGCAGTTCACTACTACAAGATAATTAGGCCCATTATTGGATAGGATTTACATATTTTCTTTTCTTCAGTGAGAAGTGCCTCAGTCAGTGATACTGAGCAAGCTTTTCTAAAAGACAGTTTATAATTCCCCTTTTCCCCCCTAAAAACAATCTCAGTCATATTGAAATGTTAATCATGTTCTATGATGTATTCTCAGCCAACAAAGGAAAACTAATAATATGTGAAGACTCTGTTGTTTAATCTAGCATGACTAAAAAACAGAGAACACAAGTCCCTCTATTGCAGAAAATCTGCCTCAAAGATACATGTAGGTTCAGACAAGGAAAATGATTATCAAAAAGTAATTTGGAGTAAAAATGACATTTAAGTCATTTTCATATATGTTTATTCAAATTTAGCGCATGGTATGAACTTTGACATATAACTTGGAAATCATGTTTTTTCATATTATGAGAATGCTTTAGAGAATTTGTATGTACTTTAATATGATGTGTGAACTCAGCTATTAATTAGTTTTTGGACATGAATTAGTTGTTAGATTATGCTATATTGCATGATGAGAGCAAGACAACGTAATTCTGGTTTGAAATATATCTGTTTTAAATTAATTAAAGTATTCTTCAACCATAGTTTGTTGGTATGGGAAAAATAATAAAACATTGCTAAAGAAAAAGAAGCAAATATTTATAAGTTTCTATTCTTCTTAATATATGTTAGAAGAAAAGCCTGAGAAAGAATATGTAGTTAATTCCTATAAGTTTATACACTTTTATTTAAAATATGCAGGTATCTTAATTTCACTTTAAAGCCCATGTAATAGACACAGAGTATGTACAATTTATTTTTTAAAAAAACTATCTTGTATAATCTAGAATTTTCAAATGTGTTCAATTTCAATTCCCACGCTGATTTGTGGATAATGAAAGTTAATATTATGCATTTGGAGAACAAGATGGTGGAAAAAACATATCTTTCTTTTTTTTCAGACTTAGCAGTTAGAAAACTAATAAGCAATCTATCCCAATGCTAAAAACTTTTAGCATAGCCTAGTGCAGCAGATGAAATAATTGAGTGCATACTTCAAAGATTAGATAGATAATTTTTGAAGAAAATAAGCTTACAAAAACATGTATAGTCTATATATAAAAAACTGGAAAATTAGTACATTTATCCTCTATGGGTGCAGCACACAGATCAAGTCATAGACTATTGCATAAACAGTGGTCATGTTACGTTCATTCAAAACACAATATCAAAAACAATTCTTCCAATCAATAGTTAATTTCATATAACTTGCTAGGGCAAAATCAAATAATCAATATGCACATGTCCAATATCTGAGTTCAATCTATTAATCCAGATTGTTTTTCTTCCTCAAGGAGAGAAAAGTGAGGGTTTTTTTCATTTTTAAATTTACCCTATTGTTATTTTAATACCTGAGGCTTCTCTATAGCTACAGCAAACATGTTGTTCTCAACAATGGATTGCTATTTTTAATATATTAGTTAATAATAATGATAAGTTAATATAAAAGCAAAGCACCACCCTAGTAAGACTGATTATTGAACACAATCTTACAGGAACATAGTGTGCTATTCACCTGTGAAAGAATGACTATCTAGGAAGAGAAAAGAGATAATGAACACAATTCAGAAAAGAAAAAAGGTAATATATTTCTAAGAAATTAGAAAAGGTTAGAAAGGAACTCAAAATAACCCCACCTTGATTTTATTTGGCACAACAGTGGGAAATTCCAAACTTTCAACATTTTCTTAGCCTACACTACAATAACAAAGAGTATTCCTGGAATCATCCTGCTTCTCTTTCTTAAACTAGCCTATCCTGAAGGGATGACATCATCAATCCCCACCATGCAGCTAAGTGGTGTGTGTGTGTGTGTGTGTGTGTGTGTGTGTGTGTGTGTGTATTCACTAAGAGAACAGTCTGTCACTTACTGTATCTGCAGATGAAAATGGAATTTCATGACAGCTCTTTGGAATCTTGGCAGCCTAAGCAAGAATCTTGCCAGGTGATGAGATTATGCAGAAAACTATCTGGGGGCTGCAACCCCATCCCTCCTATACCTATTCCATGCACACATCTTTTTCATTCAGTGACAACAGGAAAAAAAATCCCAAGTGAATCACTAAATGTAAGAGAGACATATGGTTACAGAATAACACCCATATGTTGGAGCTTACACAGCCTATGCAAACCAATCTTTCTTGAATGGGGGGGAAAAGATATTTGAATTATTGGTGAGATTAGCCTGAAACAGCCTTATTTAATCCATGGGGTTTTTTGGAAGGTTAAGATAAGGTTATAATTCCCAGCTAGTATTTCTACAGTTCTGGAGAACCTGGCTGAGATACATGAGAGCTTTCTTACACTTCTCAACTCAGAGAAAGAAATACACCAAAACAGTGAGGAATGTTCACAAATGTTGTTTTGATTTGAACCTATAATTTACTATAACTGAAAACTTCATCTAGTATACCTATTTCACTTTTAACATCTTCAATAAATTGAGCATTTCACATCAGTATTACAAATGTTTACACTGTTTAACCTTGTTCCCCAAAAGAAAAAGAAAAAAAGGGGGAAAGGGGCAGGATGAAGGTGGAAAACAAGAGTACTGTGCTGAAACTGAATCAACAAATCAGACCAGCCCGCATTTAACAGAAGTAGACAATGGCAACAGCCAGACAACACATTCAGAATAACTGAAAGTAAGGTCAGCTTGGTATTTTAATTACAGTTGGTTCAAAACTCCCTGTTGGAGTTTTTGGTTAAATTCCCACAGAACACTAGGTGCCCTTTTTCACTTCATCTCAAATCTCACAGGATGTCTGAAAGACAAATATACAGGGATCTCCTTTGGAATTATCAGGAAGTTCAAATAAATTTGATCACCCCAAACAATCCAAACCCATGGTGTCACAACAAGAGAGCAGGTGCACACAAGCAACTGAATAAGACTTATTAGTACATTTTCATCTGCAGGCTCAAATCTTCAACATTTATATGAAATATAATACAAAGATGGCTCTATGATCTCAATAGAGAAATTGCCTTACAGCCAGTTTACGCTGAAGTTAGTCCTACTGAGTTTAATAAAAGTTTCCAAATATGCACAGAATTACAGCACCAATGATATGTAAGCATCAAAATCAACACTGCAGAATATCACACAATTTTGAATATACTTATATAAAAACCAGCCAGGTTAAGACTATAGCGACCCTATATACAACAACTCTATCAATAAATGGAATGCAATTATACCTATGAATAATACAACATATATCACAAACCAAATGATACCCTTTCATTTTAAAGGCAAAGCTTTTTTTACTTCTATTTTACTTCTATTTGTAGGAGAAACTATAAAATTTGTAGAACCTCTAACATGTTTTTTTTATTTTTAAAGTTTCAAAGTGTGAAAAAAATAACAGGATGAAATCTGGATTTTTTACTCCTTGGGGTGACAATATAACTACCTGAGAAGTTATGAGCTTATCTCCTCCTAAATAACAATTTATTCTGCAATCACCCTAGCACAATAAACAGCAATCTGATACATGTCAAGAATGTCTGTTTAAAATCAAAGAGTGAAGCACTTGTGTTCCTTGTACCATAACTGTTCAGCTGCCAATTTATAGCTTATAAAAGCAAAGCCCGAAGTTTCCCTGTATAATGCCTCTAGGTCTCCATGCAACTGACAAACACATCCAAGAAACAAACTGACAACCGACAAACATATCCAGGAAACAAACTTTCAAGCCATGTGTACCACTTTTGTCTTCAGTGACCAGAAAATAAAGATACAAGTTGCTTTCCTTCAATTTGTAGCCTTTTCCCCCTCTCCTTCTTCTTCAAAGGAGCACCTAAGTAAAGTCCCGGTTTAACACATGTAACAGAGAATGAGTCACACAAGGAAGGAGGAAAAATTAGAAGAAGCTACTTAAAGGCCACTTTCGTCACACCATTATTTAAAAAACCCCTCGCTCCTTCCAGCCCCGAAGTCAAACCATTCACAAAGCAAATCACGCCCGCCAGAGTTAAAAGGAAGGAGGCAAAAACAAAGTTCACTGTTGGATCATCCTCAGCTCCAAAAGATAAAAATCCAAGAATTTATTTAAATCTTGCCCCTCCAGTGGAATAAATAAACAAGCGCACGGTGACAGACAGAGATCAACAGACCCACGCCGCCTTTTTGGCACATCCACCCAAATCCAAAACTTATTTTTTTTTTTACAAACCGGAGGAAATCAGCCGCCGCCTGGTTGCGGGTTGCGTTGCCTATCTCCTCACCACCACTATCCGGAAAGCTGTTAAGAGTAGACGGCTCAGCCACACAAAAGGCCAGTGGCTATTAAGAAAGGAGCGAAAGAAAGGGGAAAAAAGGAGGTCCTGGTGGAGTCCAACTTAAGAAGCTCCTCCCCGATACTCCCACAGGGAAAGCGGACGTCTAGCAACCGGGCAGCCGGTTCGCCAGGCATCCGAGGCTACTCCCGGGTCGCTGGAATGTCGGCACGCCTCCCGCCCGCCACAGTCTTCCCTTGTGGGTGGGGGAAAACGCCCGGACAATTACAGACTCGTGGGGGGGGACACACCGAAGTCCCGATCCTCTCTCTAGAGTGCCTGCGGTTCCCTCCCTTCTGCCCGCGACAGCAGCGCGTGTGGATGCCAGGAAAAACAAACACGTGGTGCTCGTGGCGCGTTTTAATTCCTTTTTCTCTCTCTTTCGGTCCAAGCAGCCCTTTTAACGGAGCTGCTTTCCAGGACTTTTGGAGTCACGCTCGACCAACAGCTGTCTTTTGAGTTTTCGGGAACGCTTTCCGCTCGACGCGGCAATAAAGGGGCCAAATTAACTTTTTTTTTTAAAAAAAGATTCCCAAGCCGGACCTTTCCTCACTGAAGCTTTCATTTCAATACTTCCGCCGTATCCGCGGAAAATGAACGCAAAAAGGACCACAACAACTTGTTAAAGTTGTGGGGGAAGTGGGGGGCTCCAGCGATTCTCTTACGCCCTGAACATATTGGAACGGGTGTTTGAAGTTTTGTTTTGTTTTTAAAATCACTTTTCTAATGCACAGTTCATGCATGCCAAGAACTGTGAAGTGTATCATAAAAGTAGACGGAAAAACAACAATGAAATCCTGCAAATGCCTATTCAAAAGTATTAATTCTCTGATGTCCGCCAAAAAGTCTTGTAATTGCCAGGATGCCCAGGCACGTTGGGGTATATTTTTATAGCCTCTTAAGAGTATCCCTCTGGACTTAAAATATTGTTAGCATGTCTAATACTGAAATACGGTCCTTGGCTTACAATAGTTCACGGTGACCGTTCAAAGTTACAACAGCATTGAAAAAAGTGACTTATGACTATTCTTCACATTGACGACCATTGTGGCATCCACATGGTACCTAATCAAAATTCTGCTGCTTGGCAACAAACTCATATTTACAATGGTTGCAGTATCCCGGCATGATATGATCCCCTTTTGTGACCTGAGAAGCAAAATCAATGGGGAACCCAGATTCACTTAACATGTTGCTAACTTCACAACTGCAGGGATTCACTTAAATAACTGGCAAGAAAAGTTGTAAAATGGGGCAAAACTCATATAACAAATGTCTCACTTGAAAAGAGAAATTTGTGGCTTTAATTGTGATTGTAAGTTGAGGACTCCTGTAGCAGCCCAATTGGTGATCTGGGGCTGTCATTTTTTTTAAAAAAAATAGTTGCTATTTTCAGCAACTATTTAATTGTTCTGTAAAAAAAATAGACAGACCTTGGTTATTGTACACATACCGTGTTTCTCACAAAATAAGGCTGGGCCTTATGTTTTTTTGAGCCCCGAAAAAATGGCTAGGACATCTTTTCGGGGGTGAATTAATTTATTCCCCCCCCCCGTGCACCAGTGCCATCTCCAACAACAGCGTCTGAGTCACTCCTACTTTTCCCCCGTCCCCGTAACAACAGGGAAAAAAAGATTTTGAGGTACCTGGGAACGCCGTGTGCTGCATTTTGGTTTAATCCTGAGTGGCTGGGTGGGTGTGCAAAGAACTGAGTGAGCGTCTCTGCTGCTGCTACCCTTGGTGCTCCAGCCTCTGGCTCTGCAAGTTTGCAAAAGTCCCGGTGCGCAGCCCGTTCCTGCATTCCAAGCGCCCAGGCCAAGCTGCAGCTGTCCCTCTCTCACCAGCGCTGTGTCCAATAACAGTGGCAGCAGCGGCGGGAACCGTGGAAGTTACGGAGGCGACTCCACCACCCAAGAAATGGCTGAAACGCTTCCACGATTCCCGCCGCTGCTGCTGCTGACTCAGATGCTGTTGTTTGGAGACGGCGCTGGCAAGAGAGGCACCAGCACCGGTGGGAACCGTGGAAGCTACGGAGGCCTGAGAAGCGGCTGAAATGCTGCCGGACATCCATGCTGACACCACCCACCTGCTGACCCCGGTAAGGGAGGGGTAAGGGAGCCCTTCACCATGATTGGCTGTTAGGAGTGGCTGATGGTGAGGTGTAACTGCCCGCGGGGCACTCCTAATTCCCCCCCTCACCTCCCCCTCCCAATTTCTCATGTTTTAAACTAGGCCTAAATTTGGGGGGAGGGGCTTAATTTCATTTTATGCCTAAAAAACATGCTGGGTCTTCCTATTGGGGGGAGGCGTATTGTTGGAGAAACATAGTACTACTGAGTATGTTTCCATATTGTTCATTCTTCTCCATTAGATGAATTGGCCTGTGTGAATTTTGTTTATCCGCACATCATGAGGCCATTTGCCAAGTTATAGAAGCCTAGCTGAGATGGATGAACATAGGGCACACCGAATGATGGAGCTCAGATTTTCACTTAACTCCAAACCGGCCTGGGCCAGTCATTGCTTCTTTTTCCAACCCACCTCTGAATCATATCATGAGGATACAGCGCATGTCACCACTATCAGAAGAAAAACTTGTGTGCATGAAAACATCCATTTCTAAGGAAACAATCATTAAAAAGTATATATCTCCTAACATGATCGTCTTAAGCATATCTTTTAATTCAGCAACAGCTGGCTGAGTTCACAAACCATGATTTGCACATAACAGCGAAACAGAAGCAATCTAAAACCATCTCTATCTATTGGACCAGACAGAATATGTGCCTACTTCTTAAAAAGGCTATCCACTGCCATAGCAGAACCTCTAAGCATAATCTTTGAAAAATCTTTCAGGACCAGCTCCTTGCCTAACCTATGGTCACAAGCCACAGTCATCCCCATCTTCAAAAAGGGAGACTCCAGCCTAATTGAAAATTACAGACCAATCTCCTTATGCTGTGTCACCTGTAAAGTCATGGAATCAATTATTAACCAATCCATTATCCTCCACTTAGAAACAAACAACCTACTCTCCAATAAACAATTTGGTTTCAGAAAAAAACTATCCTGTAATCTGCAACTCTTACACTGCAAAAACCTATGGACTACACAACTCGATCAGGGCAAAACAATAGATGCAATCTACATAGACTTCTGTAAAGCCTTTGATTCAGTGGTACATAACAAACTACTCCTAAAACTAAAATCTTATGGTATCTCTGGACAACTGCATAACTGGATAGAAGCATTCCTGTCAAACAGACAATAAATGGTCAAAATTGGGAGTGTCCTAACAAATTCTGTACCTGTCAATAGTGGTGTCCCCCAAGGCAGTGTTCTAGGACCAACTCTCCTCATACTCTACATAAATGACCTCTGTGATCATATTAAGAGCAACTTCAAATCTCAACAAATAAATGCTCTGTCATACATATTGGCAAAAAAAATCAGAAAATAAAATACAAGTGGAATAGTCAAGACCTTGTTGATGATCCAAGCTCTGTAAAGGACCTTGGAATACTCATCTCTAATGATCTAAGTGCTAGAGCCCACTGTAACTACATAGCCAAAAAGGCATTAAGAGTTGTTAACCTAGGGTGCTTCCGGTTTGTCGGCTTCGCGAGCGGCAGGGATTCGCGAAGCTGCGCGATCCCTGCTGCGCTAGCCGTTTTTGGGGCTCCGATCCGGACGGGTGCGGAGCTAGGCTGCCCTGCAGGGGCAGCTGAAGGTAGGGGGGATCCGGAGAAGGGTTTGGGGGTGTTGCAGACCCCCTCCCCGGCCGGCAGAACCCCCTTTTCCCAGGACGGTGCAGCGGCGGTCCGTAATGGCCGCCACAAAGAAGCTGGCAGCCGGGTAAGAATGCGCAGGAGGAAGTGGAGAAAGGTTTTGAAAGGAGAAAGTTTTTCTTGGTTCCTAGGACTCTAAGACATATTTAACAAAATTCCTGAAAAGTATGACTTTCTGAATGATACCTTCTAGAAGAGGAAAAAAGCGGCAGTTTGATGGTGCTGAAAGGAAAGCTTACCCTCTTTTCCTACGGAATAAATAAGTGAATATTAAGAAACCTATTTTTTTTAGGTGAAAACTGGCTTTAAGCGATGAGTGGGAAGAGAGAGGACTAAAAAAAAAAATATTTGTATGCTAAGATTGTTGGAGGAGATGCCTTAAGGTTTTGAAGACTAAAATATATTGCAATAAGACTTTAAAAAACAGATTTGGACTTTCTTTGTCTCTGATTGATACTACCCCAGAAGGAGAAAGTGAGAACTCTGTCTTGGTTTGGACTGATTGATAACTTTGGGACTGTTTTATTTTTTCTTTGGAATATTCTGGTTGTTGTAAGAAGAAAGAAGGGGAAAAGAAAAGAAAAGATTTATAATGGCTCCTTCTATTGAGGAACTGAGAAAAGATTATGAACAAGCAAAAAAAAAATGGTAAAGCTGGTTTGAAAGAAGCCTTCCTTTTTTTAGAAATGGCGCTTATTAACTATCAACAAACATTACAACAGATGAAAACAGCAGAAGAAGAAGGAAAGGAAGCCATTTTTAATAAATCTCAGAAATCGACCAAGAAAGAAGTAAGAGGGAAAGGAAGAGAAACTAAGGACTTAAGATTTAAAAAAACACTTAAGAAAGGGAAAAATAAGGTGCAAAATCAATATAATGATAGTAAACAAAAGGGAAAAGGAGCACGACAGAGAAGGGAAGCCAGTAAGGCAGAGGCTAGAAGAAGGGGGGGGGTAGAAAGGTTTGTTGGGAGAAGAAAGGAAGGGAAAAGGTGGAGAAAAGCTACAAAGTTTTGAAATTAAATGGGAAAAAAGGAATCTTTTTTAGGGATAAAGGATAAAGTATAATTTCTTCAAAAGATTTTGCAAGGTACATAAGATGATATTGTAGTATTGTATTAGAAATAGAAAACTTAAATGGTTTAAGAGTTGATAAGAGATTAAAATGGTGAAATGTTTAATAATGATTGGTTTTAGAATTTAATAATATGAGGGGAGGT